TTGCTGAGCGCCTAAATACATCCCATATCGATATACATATACATGTAAAACGTACGATGGATAAACATGGAATACCCGTACTTATACAGCTTCACACTATGCATAGCGATGGTTGTAATTCAATAAAAGTAAATATTCCATTCGTATAAAAATACGTATTACCGTGAAGAATACTAAATTTAACGACTCGATTTAGCATTATTATTTGCAAGATATTTTCAATACAATTTCGAGAAATCTTTTAAATAGAAGGTTTTTTATTTCCATATTAATTTTATAAGGTACTGTACATGTATTTAATTTAATGAAAAAAGCATAATTGTGTTACGTAGCATGGAATTGGACACGTCATCACATAGATCCCGATTCGCGTGATATTGGGCACGGGATCGGATCTCGTGATTAGTGAAATTAGGGAAGTTAGTATATGCAAACCGATGCAAAGCCTCAGATCGATGCATCGTTGGGAAGATGGTCTGATATAGAGTACACCAATAAATCCCGAATATGTGAAGGTGTACCAATAAGGCGCCGACTAATGAATCAAAACAAAAATGATTCATTAGTCTTGGCGACGCGATAAAAGTGGGATCGCGACGAGAATAGTGGGAGGAAATTTGATTATAAATAAGGAAGGCTTTAGAGTAAAAAGCGATATAGAATTAGAATTAAGAATTAAGTTCAATAGAACTATAAAATAATTCATCATTGTAATAAAAGTTTTTATTAAATAAACTAAAGATTACTATTATTCTTAAATGAACGCATACATTCCTTCGAATCATTATTGATCTATCCCCACACTCTCTATTAATAAAGTAGTCTACCCTAAGGCTACGAACACTAAATAACGAAACTACGACACCGCGACCGACGAATTGCCTTCTTAGGCTAGCTCCATAACTTGGAGAACCCGATCAACCCGTGATCGTACAGTCTCACAGATTACTCGATAGATCCCCCACTTCTATTTCACCGGGTAACAACACTAAACCAATTACATGTTGTATTTTTTTACATGGCCTACAAATTTCCAACGATACGAGCTTAGTACATGGATATGTGATATATATACATTGAAAAATACAGCTATATTTCATTTTCTAATTTAATTGTATCAGCATTTTTAGCTTTATCGGTAGATAATTTATTTCGTAATCAATTGTTTGTTCTCAATTTAGAAACTTCATTCTATTTCTAAAAAAAGGAAAGAAGGATTATCTTGAAACAGGAGCACACGTTCTTTTTAAATTCATTAGTCCAACGAGCAAATACAGTCCGGCCATAAGTAACTTACCTCGATAACGAGCACAAAGGACAACACACTAATCATCAATGTCCTTAATCTATATCAAGCATTGGATGTTCAACAAAACTCCCACGCTTTAAATACAATCAGTCACTTATATCTTGTTCAGTGATCGACTAGACAAATCCCTAAAATGATCGATTAATTTTTTTGATATCAACAAAAATGAAGCTTCAATTTATGATGATCTTAGTGAAAAATATTATCACTGTAGATCAAAGATATTACATATACATCGATTCAATTTCTAATGATCAACAAAATGAATCGCCTCACTTTATCTCTACGTTCAATGACCTGATTCGAGTGAATATACTACTATTTGATTGTATTGATAAGACAATTCGAATGGTATATTCACTTGAATTGGATCACTGAACGTCAAGATAAAGTGTCAAATTTATTGTATTTTGCAGCGTTGATAAAAGTGCGCATTCATGTGTTTTTAATGGGGAAACCACGCAAGATCAGAAAAAATTCAATGAAAAATAGAATCCTAACGCTCTCTAATACGTTCACGTGATTTTGCCCTTGATTATTGGTGATGCCAAATATAGAATTTTACCAAACTACATGTGCATGTACATGTAGAAGACACGATGAAAAATCATATAACATTATACTTTATTTTTGTAAAAGTTATCGGAGGCAAATTACTGTATAAGACCATTTATATAAATAAAAAAACAATTTGTAAAATGATAAAGCAAATAGTACATATAAGACAAGTTTAATTCTTCAGATCATTAAAAGTAAGATTTTTCTGTACATCGAAACCAAAGATTTTACCTGTGCAATCATAGAATAAAACACCGATCGTGTTTGTTCACCGAAAACAGCCGAAGTCCGAGAAAAAAGATTTTATTTTTGTTCTTGAAATTCTTATATATTCTATGAAGAGTAGGTAGAATATGGGTAGTTGACTAATGACATACATGTGAGAATGGTTCAATGCTTAATCATATTTACTATTTTTTTCCGGTGCATTGCAGATTAATTTTTCTTTGTTTGCTTACATTCTTTTATAAGTTGCGTTAAACGATTCACAAATACGTATTATTAAACTTCCATTGTGCAATCAGCCATTGTGAATCACCAAACAAAAATGCTACATTCATGCATAGTTGTAGCGTAGCTTGATGAAGAATAAATAATATAAAAAATTAATAGTACATGTATACCAATTTTTATTAGCATTTATCGTTATAAATTTTATTATTCATCACTAGTTTCTATTTTTGTGCTTGTCTAAATCAACTTATTTTTAATTTTGAACGATACACCACATATTAACAGAAACGCAAAATATATTCTAACATATTTGAGAACATAACGTTTTGCATTCACGGATCTGTTATTGCATAGTGTTACGGATATTATCTTTTAACAAAGTAAAATGGTAAATTCTAAACGATAAATTTCTAGTTTTTTTATCATTTTAAAGCTTATATCATATTCTTTGCTACTTTTTATTTATTTTATTAACTAGAATGGCATACATGTAATATGCATTTAACATGAAACATAGCTCGATGTACATGTATGGTTCAATTATCTTAAATCAAAAATGTTTGTATTTTATAAATTGAATATGTCTTTCTTTATCATATTCATGGATTTACTTCTTAATTAAGAAGCCAATACAATTTATAAAATACATACATTTTTGCTTTAAGATGAATTGTCACATATAACTAAACTAACCTAATTAATCAAACCATTTGTCGTTGATATTCGTTGACATGTGTAATCAGGAAGTATGTCTTACCTTATTATTGTGTTGCATAATTGTATGTTTAGAAATTCTTCGGATAATTTAATTCGTATGCAGCATTTGGCTATAATAAAACGTTGACTGTATTATTCAATTAACTTATTGGGAGTACAGTCAGAGCTCCCTAAATGTAATATCTCTCTGCAAGCTCAAACTCTGACACAAATACAGTGGCGCTCAAAAGTAATGCATCACTAAGACGAAAAAACGAATCGTGGAATTTTTGACAATATAGAAGCCACAGGTAAATGAAATTTAGCCCATATATAGTTAAAAGCATAAATAAATAATACATGCAATTTAAAAAAATAAATTAACACCACTTTGCTTAACTTGGTCTTTATTACGCCAAACTGATGTTCATTTCTTTTGATCGTTTCCCCCCTCAAAAAAAACACACAACAAAACAAAACACACCTCTTATAAATAAAATATTCTTTTATCTAGTATAATTAAATTATTATGGCACATATTCCCATCGAAGAGATTCCAAATTTGCACCCTTCTTAAAGAAGGATATTCTTCCTGTTATATTGCAAATTGCAAAAATATTTTGTATGTTTAAAAGAAAAAAATTTAGGGTCAACAATAACAAAAAAAAGCGAAGCATAATTTTTCCACGTTGTTACACATGCAAATCGGTATGGATAATGCAAATTGTAAAATCATATTACATGTACATGTGTGTTACACAAATAAATATAATAAATCTATAAATTTATAACATACTATCTACGAAAAGTTCATGAATAATTAGCACCCTCCCCCTCTCCCCATGTTCAAAATCTATCTACGAAAAGTTCATTAATTTACCCATGATGTGCAGAATTATTTACAAACCAATAGGATGCGCGTTGTGACTCGTAACTAAAATTTAAAGAGAAAAATGATGTGGTATATACAAAAGTCCATTATTCGAATGTTACATGCAGTCTATTGTACGAATGCTATAATACAAAAGTTTTTTTTTGATGTTATACACAAAAGTCCTTTTTTTGAATTCTAATATACAAAGTCCATTGTTTGATGTTATACAATCTTATTGTCCGAATATAATATACAAAATTCTATTGTTCGAATGTAATATAAAAAGTCTATTGGTTATACAAGCTTATTGTCCGAATGTAATATACAAAATTCTATTGTCCGAATATAATATACAAAGTCCATTGGTTGATGTTATACAAGCATATTGTCCGAATATAATATACAAAATTCTATTGTCCGCATGCAATGTAATATACAAAATTCTATTGTTCGAATGTAATATACAGAGAAATTCTTTTTCATAAAGCTATACTGCCCCGACCATCGCAGCAAGCGGTCTCAACCAAGCCATCAAGCGTTGAGTCCCATATATAATAATGAATTTTTGTTTGTAATGAAAGGAATGGATGTAGCGTGTTTGTCATATCAAAAGAATTGTTTAAGTGTATAATATATTATGGATATCGTCGTTGGGTGGATTCCTTTTTATATTGCTTTCAACTAACTAGCCTATATAAATAATTAGAATTGAATTGTATTACATGTATAAATAATATCAGTTTTGTAAAATGTTCCCACCGATGACACCGATGATCATAGAAGGCTGTAGAAAAATTACGGGGTAGATTATTAACATGTCATGTACTATTAACTATAATTTTTTTTCACATCATACTATCAAACCATCTGTGTTGCAATGTGTTATTCGTATTAATAGCGAAAACCAATCATGGGTAAATTTTTATGTTTACGCTGAGTACATGTATTATTTAAGACAAAAGATTTTCACATACCCAAATTTGTCCAAAGTTGACACAGGGATGAGTTATGGCAAACAAATCCCTAATCAACCATTGATTCATACCATTTCCTCCTTAGAGTGGAGTATTTGCTAATATCACTAACCCTGTACATTACTATTATCACTAATCAAAAAGATCTTCTATCACTGGACTTCGCCGGCCGCATCACGAATTTCTTTAAATATTCAACAAATTTCTCACGGATTTCATGCCGAGTAGTATTTTTTTGTAATGCAATTGTATATTTCAGTAATATTGTGAGATGGATCTATTTTAAAAATAATCTTTATTGTTTTTTTTAAGGCTTATCATATGAAATGATTCAGAATGAACAAAAATAATTACCCACCATCCCTTTGATGGGAAGTTGATCTAGATCAACTTTCCGTTTTAGTTTGATCTTATAATGAAACACTTGCCGCTTTAAAAGTTCTAACTTCTGAGAATTCTTGATTCTAACCAGAAACATTCGTTCGTTTTTTTCATCCGAAACTATTATAAACATTTGCTTATTTATGTAATAAGAAATTGTTGTATAGAAGTATAGATTCTAGCAAGAGGATGAAAAAGCGCTATACGAATACAGGGCAACACCTGCCGGAGCGTTTCGCTCTTGTAGCACAGCGCCACGGTCCCACGGTTTGTTCCGGTTTCCTCCAAGTCGTTAACATCCCTCACACGTAAAAATAAAAATAAACACAGAATTTGTTATTCACCCCTCACACGCAAAGATGAAATCACTCAAACGCCGTGATGATCGCATTGCATTGCTTTATCAGCAAATAATTGATTATCATAAAAAATAAACACAGAATTTGTTATTCACCTTCACCCAAACCAGAATTTTTTATTTATTAGCTATTTACCTCTAATTCAATAAGCTATTTATCAAAACTCTTATCAAGTTTTTCCTTTAAAAAACAAAATCGTTACAACTTTGAAAATAACTTTGAATAATGATTGCATGCACCACCTCGTAAAAAAAATAAGAACCCAAGGATTCCCTTGGAATGATTTTTATGTTGTAGGTGCAGTGGCGGTTGCTGCTTTAGCTTATGGATTAATTTGTCTACAATGACATTCTAAAAAAATAATGATACAAAACATGAAGTGAATAAAAGGGACGAAGTTGATACACAGGAAAACAAAGATCTCAATTCAAACACAAAACCTAATATTTTAGAAGGTGTGAGAACTATCGCTACTCTAAATAAATCTTTTCAGATAAATGAAAATATCATTCTTGATAAAGTAACAAATCACTTTAAAGATACCGGAACAAGAAGTAACTACAACAAAAAAGCGTTACAATATGTAAAATACGAGGATATCCAAGTTACTACCGAATGCAACTCACTTTAGATATCTCTAGAGGATTAATTTATTTAAAAATTGATGAAAGTTTGTATCACGATATTCGCAGTCAAACTGTTGCAATCACAAAAGGCGGTCCAATATATATTACAAAAATTGATAGTTTCGTCTTAAGTCGTTTTTTAGAGAATTTCCAATATACGGAATTAGAGAATCTTAGAGATGACAAACATCAATATAATTACAAGCATGAAACATATAGGTAAATAATTCTATGAATTACCATCAGCAATAATTTATAGATTTATAGACTTTTTCTTATTAATTTTATTTTATAATTTTGTGATACTTCTTTGTGAAATTGTTGAACAAAGAAGCCCATTCCAGGCGAAAATAAATATTGAAGAAATTTGTAATACAGTTCTTGAAGATAAACGAGAACAATTTTCTTCGTTATTGTAAGCTCCCATTTGATGGATAGATATTATAAATAAAGGTAATTGAGATTATTGATATCATATTAATAAATTAATTAATAATAAAAAATCTATTCTGCTTAAAGATGATTATTATACAATTACAATGCGAAATATTGGGTTGAATATTACATGTATTATTATGATTCCTTAAAAGACAAGAAGCTGATAAGCAAAAAAAAAAGTGGCAATAGTAAAAGTTAAAAAAGCAGCCGATATGAATTTGACTGATGCTCAACTTAGTTATGACCATTGGCTTTGCAAAGGCAAAGGAATTGAAAAAGATAGCTCATTAATTATAAAATATTTTGGTACTCAACCTCTATATATAATCTTGGATTCTTTTACAACGAAAAGGAAGGTGATCATAATTCAAATACAAATTCAAAAGAAAATAATCTTGAAAATGATTTAGATGGATTTAAAGATATGGATATGATTTTAATATCAGAATCTCAGTCAACATTTAGAGACAAGGAATTGAGAATTAATTCCACAAAAAAATCTTAATTCAACAAAATTGTCTTGGAAATGGATTAGGTGAATTTAACATAATCAACAAATATTCACCACGCAATTTAAAAAGAAAAATCACAGCAATACAATTGGACAAAATCGGATCTGCAATTGTATGCAACGCTCATTGTATTATGATTAAAAAGAAAGGAAGCTGATATATTATATTTTTAATAATAGCATTGTATTTAGAATTATAACTAAATATTTCAATATTTATTTTAATTTTCATTTTGACATTTATCTTAAACGTTATCCTTATAACATTTACTTAATCATTGCTTATTTTAGTTTAGTAAATCAAAAATAAAATTTGTATATAAAGACAAGCTTTGGCTTGATAAAAAAATAGGTGAAGAAATAATTAAAGAATTAATTCTATTTAAAAAAATTAGCTGAATTTAGCAGATAGCATATTCTCTAATTTTGGATTTAACCAAGTGATAGATTCATTTCAAGTAGTAGTAGATCTTATCTTTGATTATTGTAAAGCCATTACAATAAGTTCTTTGAATTAATTCAATATTGTATTAAACTAGTCTTTCTAAAGATTGATGATATAGGAGATCTTTTGAATACTTTAAAAAAAATTCTACCTGTAAATCATTCAGTCTAGCTTTCAATCTTCTAAATTCTTCTATTCTAGTAATATTAGAGGAAGATGTAATTTTAATAATAACAAGATTATTCTGCATAATCAAATAGCACAAAGTGAAAGCTATTCCAAATATATTGGCCAATTTTCTATATCAAGAAATTTGCTATCATTATGATTTTCAAGAGAAATTATTTCAAATAGGGGAATTATCTTTTTGAATAAGATAATCAAGATGATGATGAATAGTATAAGACTCTTATTCTCTTATCAGTTTAGTAGAAAAATTCAATAAAATTTTCTATAATATACTAATAAAATTTGTAAATAAGATCAAAGTGACTGAAATATCAATTTTATATATTTATAAATAAAATAATAACACAGAATATCACAAGTTTTCTCCATATTAGATGATTTATAATCAGATTGCTGCTATATCTATAAACTTTAAATTCATTTTTATATAAAATATATTTTCATAAATTATTTTCAGAATTAATTATTTCATAAAATAATATCTGTGAGTATTATTTTTGAAAATTATACTCTTTAAAATAACATATATAATTTTAAAATAATATATATACTTCTATATAATATTGATAAACTTAATAAATTGCATTTTTAATATTATATTCTTTATTTTTGCTATTACTATTCTTGAACTTATCTCTGTTAATTTTATAATATAGACTTCTGTATAAAATTATCTCAAGTTTAAATATATTTATATTCATTTATAAATAAGTAAAATAAGTAAAAAATAATTATTCTTATTATATAATAAAAAAAAAGATCTAACTAAAATATAATATATAGTACTTCATAAAAGTATTCAACTTTTTCTAACTTTTTATAGATTATATATAATTAAAGATAGATAAATATATAAATAATATATTACTATATATACTATATATATTATATATAATATATATAATAATTAATATATATATATATAGTAATTAAATATATAATATGAATTTATAAAAACTAATAATAATTTTATTTTTTATAACTATTATATATATATATGATAATTATATATAATTTGAACTTTTAGTTAAAATAGAAAAAAAATATTATGATTAAAGAAAAAAACCAGTAACTGATAAATTAATTAATAAATCAAATATAATTTCTATTTTAAATCAATTTTCTTAACTCAAATTAATTAAAATTGAAGAAAGATTTGATATTATTTATTAAATACTTAATGAACTCTCACAATAATTTAATAACTATTAAAAAAAATAATTTATTGAATCAACTGATAATTATTATAAAGTAGAAGTTTATAATAATTAAGATAAAGAAAAATTATCTGAAAAAACTTATTTAACTGATATTGATTATAATATTTATTATACTGGAAAAGAATTAATTAGAGTTTTATTATATTAAGTTATATTAGTAGATATTTATTTTATTATAAAAATTTCTATAGAAATTATATATTAAGTAATATCTTACTCTTTTCTTGTTAGACAAGAAATTAATATTAAAAATAAAACTATAAACTCTAGTTATTGTAACAATTTTGATTGGGTTATCTTCCTTTAGATCTCTTTTAGCTTAGATCTTTATTTTGCGCTATCTGTATAACA